CCTTAATTTAAAATCATAACCTATGAACTAGACATTAGGACATAATCAAACCAATGTCCTAATGTGTACAGTTAATAAATACTGCTCGTATGTAATCACCCTTATAAAGTTTGTTATCAGCGGAATAAGTAGTTCTGTCTCGTGTCGCAGTAATTACGTACCAGTAGACAATAATAGACATCGTGAGCATATAAATGGTTTTTATCGAATGATTTATCAATGGATGATATCGTTAGGTGTTTACGAGCGGTGCGTGTATCTTCACCCTTATTTATCGTGTCGTTCACTCACATTGGATGTATCGCGCTTGTGATTTATCGATGTAATACTGAGCATTGGGCCAAAGGTCGATTTCGGAAATGTATTGTTAGATTGCTCACATATAACACAGTCTGTTTGTCGGTTTGTTTCATTGATAAAATAATTAATTAATAAATGTGTTGTTTTTAGTTGTTTTTCTTGAAGTAAACTACATTTGTAAAATTCGTGCGTTTTATGACGTCACTATAAGGCGTATTGACTGACGTTACGTGGTGTAACGTTACGTAGTGAAATATTTGCTTCGGGCTCGTTGATCGCGGGTAGCCGTAGCCAGTACATACTGTACATACTGACTTCACTCACACCGTGTAACTTCGAATATAGACGAATTACCTTTGTCAATCATACTAATACTATAAATTTGAAAGTTTGGATGGATGTTCGTAGAGGGTAGTTTGGAAGAACACATAGGCTACTTACTTTTTTTAATCCCACGCGGACGGAGTGGCGAGCGCAAGCTAGTAGATATTACAAAAATTAAGGTTTACTTTACTTTGCAGTGGTTTCTGTAACATGTTGAATATTTGTAGTAATTTGGTTGTTGGTGTTCGCAAGACTGAGGGTCGTTCAAATCGCGGCCGCGTTCCGCCCGACTCGCCTCTCAGATGAATACCCGCAATTAATCACTGTTTATTTACGCTGAGAGGCGCTTGTTAATTCCCGCGCCAGATGAAAAGTTAAGCTATTAAGGCGTATATTTCTACGCCGTTTTTTTACGAGCTTTCTTAATCTTGTTATGCTAGGGTTGTCACTCTACTCGAAATAAAAAAAAAACTTTTGATTTAAATACGAGTACGTATAGTGTAATTGTAGTCGTTCTATGTACAATTTATAAATATTACTAAAAGCACCTCAAGAACAAATTTAAATAAGTAATGCATAAAGTTATTTAGTAAACATTTTAAAAATTAACAATCAAAATAAAGTGTGTATTAATGTTTGCATCATACTTCAATGGGCGGTTTTACTTTTTAAATGTTCCCTGTTATTGTAACAACTCCGTGGTCGGCAGCCCTGGCAGATCTCGAAGACAAATTGTGGCCTCTTAAGAATTAATTTCAAAGAATACACCCTTACAGCTCGTTTTTCATTGTCATAACGCCTTTTTTCTCCAAACAAAATATCACTTTGTTCTTAATTAGGGCCTGATGCTTTCACGCAACTGTTCCCAAGCGCCGTTTATTAATTTGTTTTGAGTTATTGTTCTCTTGATGGATCCGATTGCTCTCCCTTTGTTTTAGTTTGTGAATTTTGATAATTGCGGTATTTGTTCTGCCTTTCTTATGATTATTTTCCTTTTGTTTTAGACCGACTGTTTGATAAGTTTGAATTGAAGAATTAGCAACTGTTTATTGCGTAATTTATTAACTTATACCTAATAAAAAATAATGTAATTAAACACAGAAGTAGCGGTGCTACTAATACTATTTTTAAGGATCCTATCTTCTATCAAACTATCGCACAACCGTTTAGTCGCGCTTTGTTTCCTATGAGGTCATATGAAGGTGTGCACATTACTCAATTTTTAGTTCTGGAACTAAACAGTTGAATGGTTGCTAAACAATCGACAATCACAACTGTTTAGTAAAAGGCGTGCGTCCGTTCTTAATGTTAACTCACAATTAACAGCGGTGTTCCGCGAGATGTCGTTGTTCGAAGCTCGATAACCATTACGAGGAGATATCTCTAGCAACTTGTCACAATTATCCCGGTCACGGGCGTTATCGGCGCGCCCGTCGCCCGATTTACTGCTGCGAAGACACCTTGTCCTTCCATTTAACTGTTATAACGTTGTAAATTAAACTGTTATTGTTCCAGCAGTTAAAATTAACGGTTATTGTAAGGGGCCGTCGAGCGACTGATAACTGAGATGGCTCCGAACGTCGGATATCAATGTTTCTCATGATAGCTGATACATTTATAGTATTTTATAGCGTTTCTTTCATTTAATAACTATTGAATAAGAATTAATGAATTAATTAGATAACATCGAAGTTTATATCAGCATTATGACATTAATTTTCAGTGGTCAAATTTCAGTGTTTCCTTGAACTCCAGTTCCAGTCACATTACAGTTATAGGTTACTCGGTGAAGTTAAAACAGATTTATAAAATGCTCGCAACCATAGATTTGAAAGAGAGCGAGCTCGATAGGAAAGAATTATTGCGCCAATAACACTCAGATACAATTCTCAATGACGACCCAGTTTATTAACGTAACGTTAAAGAAAACATTAAAATATTATAACAATATTGCAAACAATCTTAATATATTCTGAGTATGTATTAATAACGTTTAAAAACAAACTCCAAAATAATCCATCTCCACACTCGGCGGTGACACGGCACGTCACATCAGTTTGACGCACGTCAAGTCGCAGCGTATTTATGACGTGCCGTCGCCAGCCGCCATTTGTAAAACTCAATTAGACGCCGTCTCCGCTCGCCTCGCGCTCATAATGATAATTGATGACGAAATTTGCGAGCTTTTTGCGGAGAGATCCTTTCCGGCTATATTTCTTATTTGTGACGCGTTTCCGTTGTTACCAACGATAAGTTAGTTATGTTAAGGTACTTAAGAATTCAATATCGTTTTAATGTTACCTTTGCTTATAAAACAAACTGTTTAGTTTTGCGTCTTTCAACGGGCGTTTGTCCATTTAAAGACTTTCCATGATGGGTTTTTCTATTCCAAAACTATTTTGTAGTTCGTGTTTTAATAATAATCAAATCATTCTTGAAAAGCACATCTTATTCTTTAAAAGCATTGCAACCATCGTCATTAGCGAACTGACCTGAGGTAAAAAAAAAATTAAAGATATAGTTACTTTTGTTACAAAAATATTTCGAATTCGGATTCAATGGAAACAAAGTAAATATCGCAATCTTTCTTCATAATACGGGCTCTGTTTAATTTGTAAATCGCTTCACGACTGATTAAAAACTCCTTTAAAAAATATTTACGAGGCGACGGAAAGAAAGTACACAGAGTGAGTTCGTATTTTTCTTTCCTCGTTCTGATGCGGGAAATTGAAAAAGTAAAGCTTTTGCTGAAATGTATTATGCGTTAAGTGTAATGATCGAGTGCTATTTCTAAAGGAACTTTGAATTTAAAATCTTTTGATTTAAATATTGGTAAATGATTATTGTATACAATGTCTGAAAATTTATTTTATTAACAATTATCTTTCGCCCGCGACTCCGACTACGTGGAATTAGAAAAAACAAAACTGTGTACCATATGTGTTCTTCCAGACTATCCTCTACGTCTATGCCAAATTTCATTGAAATCCGTTCAGCCATTTAGGCTACAACATCTATCCATCCATCTTAACTTTCGCATTTATAATATTAGTATGATTATGCATGATTATGCCATACATTTTACTCTAATTATGGATGAATTATACAAGATATGAATCAAAACAGGCACTATGTAATCACTTGATATCGCACAAAATTACGATCCGACAAGACTCGGCAAATCATCATAATGGGTAGAGGTTGCCCGGGCCCGGGGCGTAAGAGGCCGGCGATAAATCTTAACACAAGTCAGAACTATGTTATTCAACGCGATTATCTATCCCTTTGTTCAATTTATGCTAAGACACTTTTATAAAATTAACTGTTGCTAGCGAATCCGTCTACGTAAAATAAAAAAGTAAGTAGCCTGTGTTCTTTCAGACTGTCAACTTCAAATTTCATAAAGATCCGTTGAGGCTCTCTGAACACCTTCTAACAAGCATCCATCTATCAATCTAAACTTTCGGATTTATAATATCAGTAAGGTAAAGTAACAAGTACCTTTCCTACAGCCAAAACTTCTTCCCAATATGTATATTTTAAACCTTATTCAACTAACTAATATATGCCCAATTTAACATATTGTTGGCAATTACTCACTTACCGAGTTAATTTAGTTAGTGCTGTAAATTATCGGTTGTCTGTGACGTTCTCGACATTGTTGTGTTTAACATTATGGCCTATTTACATTATTCCAGTACAGTAATCAAGTAGCACTAATTATCAAAGCTGGAACACATGTATAATGTAAGCTTACCCTAGTTACAATAATTGGTTTTCGATTTTTGATACCAGTTCTGAAATTTTATAACAACTTGTATAATGTAAATGGCTTTAAGGAGATTTAGCTTTCCTTTAACTATTGAAAATGAGACTCAATAACTCAGAGTATAAGAACATTCTAATATAATTTTAGAATTATATTGTTATCTCATTCTTTTGAAAGAGAAATGAGGGACGACGATATTTTTGTGTGTTAAGCAGTAAATCAATGGAGACCAATCAAAAGGTCTATAACTCTTTTCTTCTTAAATGCTGTATCAATCTTCATTCGTACTTAACAGTTTGTATTTCTAGTTATTAGTCAATTTACAATGAAAAAATGATTCTATTGAATTTTTATTTCTTTTTGTAAATGCAATATTTTACTGCCAATGTTTTAATCGAACGTTATATCAATAAACAGAATAAAATATCGCATATCGTAAAAGTTTCTCAATATGATATCCTCAGGAATGTAAATTGCTCTTTCTTGGCTATTCAATTTTATAAATAGGAATGTAAAATGCATGAAATGTCGTGTGATAATTATTTGTACATATATATCTTTGAATCAGTTTTTATTCAAGATTAAAATACCTGTCTTAAATTTCCAGGTACTTTTAAGGAAGGAACACAGTCTTTGAATCAATATGAAGAATATACTATCAAGTATAATATGTCTAAAAGGAGAGAAACAGAAAGAAACATCTACGGACTCTGAAGATTATCTGTCTAAGAGCATCGGAGCATTCGGATTATGGCACGCTGGAATTTGTGTCGCCGCGGCAGTAACACGATTCCTTGTTATGTGGAACATGACTGCTATCCTCTTTCTGACACCAGATACAGAATTCGAATGCAAAGAAGTCAAAGTCATACGAAACATAACCTCTAATACGTGCTATGATGATTGTTTGAAATATGAATATTATAATCAAGGATTGCCGACTACTTTGATTTCTGATTATAATTTAATCTGTGATAGACAATGGCTGGCTAGTCTAGCTCAGGCTGTTTTAATGCTCGGGTTACTTGTCGGAACATTTGTCTTCGGATGGATTTCAGACAGGTAATTCATTGTGACTACTTAAGAACTGTGTTGTTCTTGTTGATGAAGCAATTTCTGGTCCTCCCTCTATTCTATCCTATGTTAGTCTTTGTCTATGACTCCACGGTACCTTTCTTCTTTAACTGTTAGTAGAATTTGTTGATGATTAAAATGTTGAATAATTTACGATGGATTTTTTTTTGTTTGTTATTCTAATATGTTTGTTTTCTTGTTACAGATTCGGTCGTCGTACTAGTATAGTCTCTTCTGTACTAATAAATGTGATATTTATGTTAGCGACACCTTTTTCTCCAAACTTTTGGGCGTTCTGTATATTTAGATTCATCACTGGTATTGCATCTGGCGGTACTCTTATTACATCTGTTGTTATAGTAATGGAGATTGTCAGCAAAAATCACCGCGAAGCCGCGAGCTCTGCTCTCGTACAGCCAGATGCGTTATCCCAAGCTTCGTTAGCAATATTCGCGTATTACTCTCCAAACTGGAATGTATACGTTTTAGTATATAGTATAGCGTCAATACTCATTCTGTTAATAGTTCTATTCATACCAGAATCTCCTAGATGGTTGATTTCACGAGGAAGAATCGACGAAGCTGTACAAATTTTAACAAAAGCTGCTCAACGGTGAATAAATTTGACTAAATTAATGTTTTTAAAAGTAGCTTGTACCATTAAATGTGTTTATTTGTCCTCAGGAACAAACTGAGCACAGATAATATAGAAGATATAGTCAAGAATAGTGTTGAAAAGTTAAATATAAATAAGAAAGAAGTATTTAATGCAACTTATTTAGATTTATTCAAAACAAAAGAGTTGGCGATCAATACAACGTGCATTTTCGTAGCGTGGACAATAAGCGGTACTTGTTATTTCGGCATCAACCAGTACATGTCTTTTGTGGGTCCCAATTTGTATGTTGCTGTTATTGTATTGGGTTTAATACAGGTGAGTTACAAAGAACAGATAAGCAATTAATGTAATATGACTATTTTAAACTGTTTTTAATATCTGCATTTTTTTCAGATGCCTGTAAGCCTTGTTTCTTTTTTAATAAACAAATATTTAGGTCGCAGGATAGCTTCAATTGGAATTCTCGGAATTGGAGGCATTGTTATGATTTTACTCATTTTCGCTGAGGATTATTTTTGGCCTGCAACAATTCTAGGATTTGTAGGATTTAGTGCCGTTACTTCAATCTTTACGGTCACTTATATTTATGCATCGGAGTTATTTCCAACTCCGCTACGTAATATGGCATTTGGTATAACTTCAACTGGTGCTAAATTCGGGGCGATGGTTGCTCCTTTTATTGCTAATTTGAAACCACAGTGGTTACCTTCTGTAGTGTTTGCTGGTTTGCTGTTTGTAGGCGCTTTATCTTGTTTGCCTTTACCAGAAACTAAAGGACCTAATTTGAAAGACACGGTTTCTTAATTAGCTTGAGAATTAAACCACAAGACCCACAGCAAGTTAGTAAATACTATCAATGTAAATCTTATAACTCATGTAACATAAAAGTTTAGCGGTATTTGAGGATGTAGTTTCACCGTGCGGTGAAATAAACCACTATATAATAATAAAACAGTTTATTGTTTCACGTACACG